GAGAGAAGGCCCTCAGCCCATGTGCTCTTTTGGCTATATTCTTAAGGATAGGGAGGAGGAAGTTGAGCTGAACCTTTATTTCCTGATGTTTTAAGGGGAAGGTAGACACCAGAATGTTTTGTCTCTTGCTGAATTGATTTTCTTTTCTTCTTGTTTTTTTTGAAATCAAACACAGGACCTCCTGAATGCTAAATATGCATTTGTTGAGTTACATCTTCAACCCAAATTCAGTTTTCTTTTTTTTCTGAGTTTTCTCCAAAATGTTGGTGTTCCTGCCCTTTATCCCTTCTTCTCATTCTGCCTTCTCTAGTGCTATTCTGAGTTTTAAGGTATGAAAATGAGTACTTTACTTGTGAGAGAGCATACCTACCCTGTTCTCTGAAGACTTGTTAGTTTTCTAGGGGATTCACAAAAGCACAGTTCCTCCTTTTCTTGCTGTCTACTAACATGTTGGGAGTTTTGAAGGTCACATTTCTTTCTGCTATAATACTCTGCCCTAACATTTTTACAAAAGGTTCTATTTGGGGGACATAAAAGTTCTGGTTTCAACAGAAGCTCACTCTTTCTCTAGGAGGTAGGCAGTGGGGATTTATTTGTCATGTTTTAGTGATGCTGGGGTTAGATCTAAAATTTATTTATTCAACATCATACATGACAAGTAATCCCAGAATCATTTGTTTGGCATACTCCTGATCACAGACTGAACCAGCACCATTAACAGTACAAAAGCAAAAGCCTCTGGCACGTTAAGCAAGCACTCTACCACTGTGCTGCATTCTAGCACAATATAGTTTAGAACCAGAGCTGCTGCTGCCATATGATAGTAAGGAAGGGGACATAGAGTAAGGGAGTTTCATATCCCTTAGTTACTAGTTACAAAAGAGTGGAAGAAGGCAGTTCTGGGGTTTTTTTTTGTTTGTTTGTTTTGTTTTTTGAGACAAGGAAGTTCTCATGGAGACCAGGCTGGCCTAAAGTGTGTGAACCTTTTCCTTCCATCTCCTGAATGGTGGAATTATAGACTCTGTGCTGCCACCACACCTGGCCTTTGTAAAGGGAAGTTTTTACTTAGGTTTCCTGATGGATTCTTTCAAATCTGAGGAAATCCCTTATAATTAAAAAAAAAAAAAAAGGGGGTGTTGGGGGTTGTGGCTCAAGTGTGAGAATGCCTAATTAGGAAGATGAGGCCCTGAGTTCAAATTCCAGTACCATCACCACCAAAAGGAATAAGTAGAAAAATCTGCTGGGAGTTGGGGGATAGCTCAACTGGTGGCCCTGGGTTCAATCCCGAGTACTGCAATTAAAAAAAAAATCTACCTTACTCTCATATCTTATGGTTTCTTCTGTTTGATAGTTAAAGTTATCACCATTGTCTGCTTCTTGTTTAGTTGGATTCTTTGCTTCTGGTTGTCTCCTTCCTTACTCTCCTACTGCAGCAGCAGCTCTGGTTCTAAACTCCTGTTATGCTGGAGTGCACCACAGTGGTAGAGTGCTTGCTTAATGTTCCAGAGGCTTTTGTACTGTTAACGGCGTTGATTTAGTCTGTTATTAGAAGACTTCCAAACTCTTGTCTGGAGGGGAAGAATCCATGGCAGGGCACATGGGTGTAAATAGAGTTTATTAAAAGTTAGGGAAGGGAAATACAGAGGGGAGCATGGTGGGCTCAGGTGGAAGCCAGAAGCCTTGAGAGTGTCTTTCTGCTCTTCAGGTGCTTTTAAAACCTACAATAGGGAGAAATGACCTAAGCCTTGTATGCACATATGAATTAAAAAAAAAAAAAAAACCCTACAATAACCTATCAATGATTGGGGAGGGGCATGGGCAGTTCCCAGCCAGGTGAGGGTGGTTCCTGAGAAAAAGCATGGTTAATCTAAGGTGTTACATTTTTTCTATGAGTCCCTAATTTAGCCTGCCTCAGTACCACCAAAAAAAAAAGTTCCCATATGTAAATCAGAGTAGGGTTTTGGAACTCTAAAATGTTTGTTAGAGCCAGGTGAAAGGAAATTTTTTTTTTTTTTTTTTTGCATATTGGGTATTGAACTCAGTCCTCAGAGCTGCTAGGCTGTTTTCTTCATGCCAGTGCTCTTTTTCTCAAGTATTAGGGATTATTGGTATAGGGAATTATATTTATGATCTATCAGATGAGTAGTAACTGCTAAGAAATGTTTCATGATGTAACATTTACAAGAACTAATGAGATGAAATAGTTTTAACAGTAATGGTTGTGGTCAACCTGCTCTCTTCCTTTTTGTTAACTACTAAGAGATTAATTTCTCTACCATCTATAATTTCAGTCAAGGTTCTTTGTCAATGTTTCAGGTTTTTAGATTCCACCTCTGCCTCTAGTAATCCTCCCAAACAAGGAAAGTTATATAGTATCCTTAAAATACTTCCCCTTTTCTGTTATTTTCCCCCTCAAGCAATTTTAATTAACCTTACAGTGACAGATGGTGAAAAAGGCTTCTGGTGGACTAAAATGAGGGGTGGGTTTGTACATATCTGTTGTGGAAGGACCCCTCCCCCTTCTAGTGAACTGTAATCTTGTTAGATGGTCCTAAAATACTATTAATTCACAGTGCTTTTAGAGGAATCAGCATAAGTTTTGGACTTTAAACGAAAAGAACCAATTCCCTTGAACTCTGAATGCCTTAGCCTTGAGGCCTAGGAGGCCCTTTCCAACTCCTCCACCCAGTCTTCACTGAAAAGGAAAGTTAAACCTTTTAACTTTTCCATTTGCCTCTCCCTCCTAGTCTAGTACGGCTGCGGTTGCCATGGCAACGGATTGGGACAGCTGCGCAGTGGCGCTCAGGCAGCTGGGTGGGGGCGGGGGAGCTGCCAGCCCGCCAAGCCCCAGACCTGGGAGGGGAGGCCCCTCCTGTTAGCCCAGAGGGAAAGAAAGAACTGGGGCGATCCGGTAGGTAAAGGAGGGAACCCCCATTTATCTTCTACTTTGGGGGCTTCTCTTCTGCATGAAGGTATAAAGGAAAATTTTCCTTTTCCCTCCCTCAACCCGAGGAACACATATGTAAATCCTTGTTTTTCCTGGAGAGGCAGGAGGCCATAGTCACAATGCTTAACTGCAAGCATCTTACACTGGGCTGGTTTTAACCCCAGCGCTCTGACCTAAACTGCTCAGCTCCCGGAAATTCCAAGGTGAGTGGGGGTGGGGGTGGGGTACTCTCCCTGGACTATGACATTTCCTGTCTACTGATGTTGGAGGCTGTTTTTATTTTCTAAATCTAATCAGATATATTTTCTTGAAGCTTAGGAGTCTCATCTGAATTCTTGTAAAGATTATTTAAAAACCTCCTACCTACATTGTCCCATATCCTGTCTTCCAAATAAAGTATTTTAAAGAAAACTTAGTTTTATTATAGGGTAGTTTTTTAGGTCGGCATACCTATTGCTAGTACGTTCTGGAGATAATGGTTTCCAACAATATATTCCTGTAGTGATTTCTTAAAATTCATTTGCAGTGAATTGATAAATGCAACTTTCATGCTTACTTGAACCTAATTCTGAGATTATTACCTTTCCTGTTTCTGGGAATGTTTTTCTGATCAAAATGGAAATATTTTACAGAGTGCTGAAAAACGTCTTTAAAGATCATAGCAAAATAAAAGTGGAGTTCAGATAAGAAAACAATTCCTGCTCGTCTACAATCCAGACTGCAGGCACCATTTAACACGGTTAAGGAAGAATTCTTAAAAAATGATTATGGTAACACAGTGTGGGAATTTAAAAAACTAGATTCTCTGTTGAGCACCCCCTGATGTGCATATTTCTGAGCTTAACTCAATTTCCATTTGTGTTGCTTTCCTTGGGCCTATGAATGGTTCCTCTGTGTTTTGAGGAGGCTTAGTGTTGATGCTGAGTCTGGGGCCAGACTTTTTTTCCTCCTCCTCTTCCTTTGGCCCACAGTCAACTTCAGTTAAGAGGAGAGGTTCCTCCTTAACTATTTGGGTTAGTTGAGCACTGGGAATTACAGAACAATCCAGTGAGTAATTTTGAATTTTAGGACTAAGATTTTTTTTCTCCTCCTGCTTTCCTCCCATCCCCATATGAGCTTGCTTAGTGTGTTTGAGATGTCAGCTTTGCTATTGTGAGCTGATGGATGCTCTGAAGGGACAAGCTCAATTTGTTTAAGGGAAATGTACCGAGTCACTGAAAATCTGGTGAAAGATGCCTAAGCATGCCTCTTTTGTAGTGCTGAGAGACTGTTTAAGATGTTCACAGTACACAAAAGTTACATTTTGGTGGTTTTTCTTTTTTCATTTTTATAAAGACCCTTAATTCACCTTGGAGGGAAAGGTTTTCATTCAATCTTTTAACTGAAGGTTTTCCACATTTCTCTTTTGAGTTCCTGCTTGTAAATAGAAAAATAGGAGTAATATACCATACTATTTATCTTTTGGAATATCAAATTAGCGGGGCTAGACAATTGTGTCATCTAATAATTTTTTTGCTTTTCTTCAACTGAAAAGAAAGTTTCATTGGGGAAGTGAGGATTGACCTTTTTTTGTGTGTGTGTGGTACTGGAGTTTCAACTCAGGGCCTACAACCTTGAGCTACTCCACCCCCTTTTTTTGTGATGGGTGTTTTTTTTGGGGGAGGATAGGATCTCCCCAAAAACTCTTTGCCCAGGCTGGCCTCAAACCGAAATCCTGCTGATCTCTGCCTACTGAGTAACTAGGATTACAGGTGTAAGCCACTGGCTCCCGTCTGTGACCCATTTTTTTAAATTAAATTCTTAGGATTGTCTGTTGAATGATTCTATAATCATACAACCCTGGAGAAGGATACCTGGCAACTTTATGTTATGCCCTGTCTGTCCCATCAAGAACTGACAGTTTGAGCTGGAAGCATGCCGCAATTGGTGTAGCCTGCCTGCCTTCCAGGCAGGAAGCACTGAGTTCAAACCCCAGTACCACAAAGGAAAACAAAGAAGTGACAGTTTTTAATCCTCACATGGATTGTAACCATTTTATTCTTTCCTTTTGCAGGAACCCCAGTGGCCTTAGCCCTTCAGGTGGAAAGAGTGCGACATGGGAAAGAAAACCAAGAGGACAGCTGATAGTTCTTCTTCAGAGGATGAGGAGGAGTATGTCGTGGAAAAGGTGTTAGACAGGCGTGTGGTAAAAGGGCAAGTGGAATATCTACTGAAGTGGAAAGGGTTTTCTGAGTAAGTGCTTCTTTTCAGGTTTTAGGACTCCCTAGAAGTAGACACCTTTGGTTTACTTACATATAAGCCATCACCATCTTTGTCTTTTTCCCCAACCTACTCAGCTTTCTTAAGAATCAGAAGACATGGCAGCAGACTAAACAGTCTCTGCTTGTAGAATGATAGTGCTTTTGAGAGGCAGTAGAATGAATTGGTTAGGAGCATAGACCTGGGAGCCAGCAAGATTTCACTTATTATACAAACTGGGTAACCTTGACACTAATTTCTGTAATAGTTTTCTCAATAAAGGAAGGATAAGAGTCTATAGTTGTATGTAGCTCAGTGGTTGAGTACTTGCTAGCATGCTTAAGGCCCTGGGTTCAATCCCCAGCACCACAAGAAGAGAAAAACACAAATAGGGATAAGAAAGAGTACTTACATAGAATTGTTGGAATTATGTACAGAGCCTGACACATAAGCTTGGTATAAGCATAAATTTATTGTTAGTATTGTTTTGGATTCATCTAAGCTAAAATTTATACATTTAAGCAAATTATAAAGAGAAGTTGATCCCATAGCCCATAATTCTCCAATATTGGACATTAGAATATTGGATTGGTTCAGGTGGATTGGTTTCAAGTTGCCTAGCAGGCACAAAGCCCTGAATACCACCATTAATGATGATTGTAGAATGATCAGGATGAGTGCTGAGTGTGACTCAAGTGGTAGAGCATCTACCTAGCAAGCTCAAAATCTTGAGTTCAAATCCCAGTACCACCCAGCACTCATCCTGGTTGTGCTGTGGTTTTGAACTCAGAGCCTTATCCCCAAGCATTCTACTTGAGCCACTCCCCAGCCCTTTTTTTTTGTGTTGGGGGTCTCATGAACTGTTTGCCTGGGGTTGGTTTCAAACTTCGATCCTTCTGATCTGTGTCTCCTGAGTAGCTAGGATTACAGGCACAAGTCATTAGCACCCAGCTTCCTTTGGTTATTTTTGAGATAGGGTCTCACTTTATCACCAGTCAGCCTGAACATGATCCTATTTGTGCTTCCTGGTAGGGATGGTCTGCACATGTCACCACACACACCCAGCTTTTTATTGATTACATGAGGTCTTACGAACTTTTTCTTGAGCTGGCCTTGAACCTTGGTCTAGGATTACAGGCATGAGTCACCACACCTGGCCTGAAGCACCCATCTTAACAAAAGATTTAAATCTGAGACCAACATTTCATTTGTAAAAATTTTCAACATAGCTGGTGTGGTGGTATAAGCCTATAATCTCAGCATTGGAGAGACTGAGACAGGGGGATTGCTGAATTTAAGGCAAGAATGGACTACATACTGAGATTCTGCTTCAAAAAAACCAAAAAACAACAACAACAAAATTTTCCCCACAAACAGAGGGGAGGTAAAACAAATTTAGAGTGTACACTAAGATACATAATGTCTAGTTTTTTTTTTTTTCTTTTTTTGCAGTACTGGGGTTTGAACTCAGGGACTACACCCTGAGCCACTCCACTAGCTCTTTTTTGTGATAGGTTTTTTGAGATAGGGTCTCTTGAACTATTTGCCCTGGACTGGCTTTGAATCAGGATCCTCCTAATGTCTGCCTCCTGAGTAGTTAGGATTATAGGCATGAGCCATTCATTGGTGCACAGCTAAGAGCATGTCTTTTAAAAAAAAAAAATGTTCTAAATATTCTAAATGATTTAATGTTTTGCTAATAGCTTTGGATAAAATCAGGAACCTTCAGAACATAATGAAGGTTATTCATTACATGAACTAAGGTTTCTCATCTGGAGCACTGGCCATTTCAGGTGAGACCATTCATGCATTGCAGGATGCTTAGCATCTCTAACACCCAAAGTGCGACTGGGTAGTACAATAGTGAGAAAATGTCCTCTTTTTCTAAAGAAGAGTGGTATCACAACTTTCACTGGCCGTAAGAACCAAACCCTCATATACACTATATCGTTTTTTCTATACATTGCATACCTATGATAAAGTTTAATTTATAAATTAGGCACAGTGATTAGCAGTAACTAATGATAAAGTAGAATAATTACAACATACTATAATTATAACAACATACTATAACAATATACTGTAATTCACCACTGTGAATGTGGTCTTTCTCAAAATATCTTACTACATTTTACTCAACCTTTTTGTGAAGATTTGAGATGACAACATAGTGTAGGCTACTCTGTAAGGGTTATTTGAATATAAGCACTGCAGTATCATAACAATCAGATAATGGAGACAAGTACTAAGAGGCAGGTAGGGTGTGGATGGTCTTGACAAAGGGATAATTCACATTCTAGACAAAGTGGAGTGGTGTGAGATTTCCTCACTACCCAGAACAGCATGAACTTTAGAATGTATTAATTGTTATTTCTAAAATTTTCTAGTTAATACTTTTGAACTGCAGCTTACCAAGGATAACTGAAACCAGAAACAGGGACTAACAGATAAGGGGAACTACTGTATGTACTGGACAATTGTCAGATTCTACCTCTTGTGTTCTTTTCAGTTCTCATAAAAGCCTTTAAAAGTATTTTCAATTTCCAGATGAGAATCTTCCCTAAAGATCATATAGCTTACAGATAGTGAAACAAGGCTCTACTATCAGGTATATTAGCTCAAATGATTTAGAAATAAATTTCACCTCATTCTTAAGCTCCTTTTACAGAAAGTTTTTAGGTGTAAATGGCTCAGATTTTCCTGTTATTTAGCTTCCTATTTAAGTCAGATTATTAGATTTTTTTTTGTAGTACTGGGTTTTGAACTCATGGCTTCATTACAAAGCAGGTGCTCTACTGCTTGAGCCACACCTCCAGTCCATTTTGCTCTGGTTATTTGGGAAGTTGTATCTCACAAACTGTTTGCTCAGGCTGGCCTCAAACCACGATCCTCCCAATGTCAGTTTTTCAGGATTACTGGTGTGAGCCACCAGTGCCTGGCTGAATTTTACTTATTTTTTTTGGCAATAGTGGGATTTGAACTTGATTTTGCACTTGCTAAACAGATGCTTAACTACTTGAGCCATGTCCTAGCTCTTTGTTATTTTAGGACAGAGTCTTAACTGTGTAGCCCAGGCTGATCTCAAACCCTCAGTCCTCTTGCCTCAGCTTCTCAAGTGCCATAGGAGTCTCTTGATTTAAGCTTAGTTAGAACCAGTTATTTGGGCGGGTTTTGTTTTTGTTGTTTATTAATATAAAGTATTTTTTGACAGCCTGGTGACAGTAGACTTGAGTCCAGAGCATTTGAATTAAGGTACTTCAAATCCTACTGGTAGAGAGCACTTGCCTAGCATATGCATGGTCCTAGATTTGATCCCAAAATCACAAAAATGAATAAGTGAAATAAAGTGCTAGATTTTATCCCGTATTCTTTTACTTTTCTCTCTGTTCTTCTTGCCTAGGGAGCACAATACTTGGGAACCTGAAAAAAACTTGGATTGTCCTGAGCTAATTTCTGAGTTTATGAAAAAGTATAAGAAGATGAAAGAGGGTGAAAATAACAAACCTAGGGAGAAGTCAGAAAGTAACAAGAGGAAATCCAATTTCTCAAACAGTGCTGATGATATCAAATCCAAAAAAAAGAGAGAGGTAAGTAAGCTTCCTTTCCATTTTCTTCTCTTACTGTTCTTTTGCCATCTCCACTCAAAAAGCGACCTTACTTTAGTTATGTCTGTGCTAAGGATGGAGCTACAAGGTAAATTGAACAAAAGAGCTTCCAGGGAGGTATGTTGATTAACTACAACGCCCCCTCCTGGTTGAGTGAGAAATGTAATTTATGGCACTGAATTTGTGTTAAAGTGGCAAAACATTAAACCCCTTGGCCTTCTCCACACATACAATGTTTAGTTAGGGAGTATCTTTGAGTTTTTTTAAGGATGGATGGAAAAGAACTTTGAAATGTTTATGACTTCACTTTTACTTTCTGTTTTCTTTTGTTCCAGTGATAACACTTATTTTCAGTCCTTTGTATTCTTTGTTCTTTTTATTTGGTAGGCTTCATGCTTGCACAGCAGGTGCTCTACCACTTGAGCTACACCTCCAGTCCATTTTGTTCTGGTTGTTTTGGAGATGGGGGGTCTCATGAACTATTTGTCCAGGATGGCCTAGAATCATTATACTCACAATCTCAGTCTCCCAAGTAGCTAGCATTACAGGTGTGAGCCACCAGAGCCTGGCTTTATCTTTTAAATTTTTTTAATATTTACTTTAGAAAGTGTGTTTATGAAATTTTGGTTTGATTCAGTTACATCAATCTTGCTGATCTTTGGCTAATGCAGCTAGCATAAACATTGTTATTACCTCTTCTTTTTTGTCTGTGTTCATCCCCCACACACACTCCATCTCATAGCTTTCAGCTTTCCATTTATTTCAAGGTTATGAAGCCTCTATATTGAAGGATAATAGTGTACCTTTAAAATGTATTTAAGTAAAAACATAATTCCACTTTAGAATCTTCTATCACTGCCACAAGCAATGCTTTGTATTCTTACTCGGAGCATTTTCAACTCTGCCTACATATTAGATTCACCTGAGTGGGGGGATGCTTTAAAAACGCTCCATTGTTGGGGCTGGATGTGTAGCTCACTGGTAGAGCACTTGCCTAGTATATACGCAGGCACTGGGTTCCATCCCTAGCGCTGCAAGAAAACAAAATCCAAAACTTTTTGTCTGACACATAGCTGGATGTGGTGGTGCACGTTTGTAATCCCAGCACTTGGAAGGCAGAGAATCATATGTCCCTGGCTAAGCTAGGACTACATAAGTAGTCCTCAGGCTCAAGGCCAGCCTGAGTTACATAGTGAGACCGTCTCACACCTGTAATCCTAGCTACTCAGGAGGGAAGCATCAGGAGGGTAGCAGTTTGAAGCCAGCCCGGGTGAATAGTTAGAGAGACCCTGTCTACAAAACAAAACTCTCTCTAGTGCCTAAGATAAACCCCAGACCAGTTAAATGAGAATTTCTGTGAGGTGGACCCAGGCATAAGGGTTTTATAATAGCTTACTCAGGTGATTCCTGGTCTCCATGTGTGGAGGGGAGGGGAATGGGAGACCAGTTTAAGAAAAAGAATTGAAATTCGAGTGAAAGATTAGAGGGTGCAGGTTAGAGTGGACTCTTAATTTGTGTCTGTATCCTTATTTGTTTCCCTGATTAATTTTATTTTTTTAATAGCCTTTTTGTTTATTTTTGCAGTTCTGGGGCTTGAACTCGGGGCCTACACCTTGAGCCATTCCACTAGCCCTTGTTGTGATGAGTATTTTCCAGATAGGATCTTGTGAATTATTTGCCTGGGGTGGCTTTGTACCATGATCCTCCTGATCTCTGCCACCTGAGTGGCTAGGATTATAGGCATAAGCCACCAGCTCCTGGCTACAGCCTTATTTTTAAACTACCCTATTCTACTGCATTCTGTATGTCATTATGATATACTATATCGATAAAGGATTTGAAAATGCTTTCCCTTCTCTAAGGAGCTAGGACTTGATTATTTTTTCTTTTTCATTAGTCCTTTGTATTTTGTTTTTTTTGTCATTTGATTCGTTTTCTAGCTATGTTAAGACAGCAAAAAAAAACCAGCATAACTTTTTTATGTAAGATTTCTGACTGGGCATTTGTGACGGAGAGTGTGTATTCCCTCAACCTAGGGTGTCTGTCCTTTTAAAAGGAGCAGTCTTAGTATTCTAGTTTAGTTCTGCTGGCCAGAGCAGAGATTTGTTCCTAGGCCAAGTTCTGAAGCTGCTGACCTTGAAAACAACCCCCATGTTTCTCTCCTATCACAGTGTTCATCTGGGGCCCCTAATAGCATTCTCTACAGTACTGGTGGCTGTCAAGTAGACAGCTGGAAAGATAGGTGATTCCATGTTTTAAAGGTGTGTGTGGTGTGGGGCAGGGCTGGTGGGGGGGGGATTACGTTTTGTTAGAACACTGCAGAAGAAATTTGTTAGTCGGCATTATGCCTGATTTAGGATTACTGCCTGTGTGATGATTTTAGCATTTCCTCGCCTCGGCTCCTTTTCAGCAGCTTGAACATTTTTCTTCTATTCCTCCCCTGCTCTCCCTATGTGGCAAACTATTTTCAGCCGCCAGCAGTAATTTACTACTCAGTCCATGCGCCAGCATTCCAGCTGTGAGCAGCTGTGTGCACATCTGGGAACCTCTTCCCCTTTAAGCGCCCCAAAAGAGGCTGTTTTTAAAACTCAGTGTCTCCCCTTGATCCATGCATGGAATGTCCTTCCTATTGTGCCTTCTGGTATCTTTGGGGACCACCTGGACCCTGCATGCTTGTTTTATTTCTCAGAGGAAAGTAAGTTGAATTTCAGATAAAAAAGATCTTATTATTAAAATCAGACACTAGAGATTTCATTCATTTGGGCAGCCTTTTTTTTTTTTTTTTTGAGGTACTGAGGCTTGAACTCAGGACCTTCACCTTGAGCCACTCCATTACCCCTATTTTTGTGAAGGGTTTTTCGAGATAAGGTCTGTGGAACTATTTGCCTGGGCTGGCTTCAAACCAAGATCCTCCTGATCTCTTCCTCCTTAGTAGCTAGGATTACAGGTGTGAGCCACTGGAGCCAGCTAAAGAGAAACACCCATTTACATTTTTTTTTTTTTGGGCGGGTGGGGCAGCACTGGTGTTTGAACTCAGGGCTTGCTAGGTTGGTGCTCTACTTGAGCCACTCTAGCAGCCTTTCTAAGTTTTTTTTCCTTTGTGTTGCTACTAAATAAGCTTGCATTTCTTCTGCAATAAAGTTTTGCTTTGTTTTTTTGTGATGGGGTTTTATTTTTTTTCAAGATAGGGTCTTGTGAACTATTTGCCTGGGCTGGCTTAAAACCCTGATCCTCCTGTTCTCTGCTTCCTGAGTAGCTAAGATTATAGACATGAGTCACCAGTGCCTGGCTAAATTACTTTGTATAAAATTTTGCCTTTTTCTCGCCATCAGTGAGTATCATTACACCTGGATCAGACTCTCTACTCTGTATCTAGATTGTATAATAGCCTAAGATCAAGTTTCAACACTTTCCTTATGAATTAAGGTATTTGGAATTACAGTCCAGTTTTGCTTCTAATGCTAACAACTTACCTACATTGGGAGGGGATAGGCAGACCAGGGTCTTCTCTCCAATGAAGTACATGAGTATTACTGTTTTTAATCTTTGAAATTCGATTTTTTTTTTTTTTTGCAGTGCTGGGGCTGGAACTTAGGGCTTTCACCTTGTGCCACTCCTACAGCCGTTTTTGTGATGGGTATTTTTGAGATAGGGTCTCGCAAATTATTTGCCTGGGCTGGCTTCAAATCTCAATCCTCCTGATTGCTGTCTCCTGAGTAGCTCGAATTGCAGGCGTGAGCCACCAGCCCCCAGCATGAAATTTACTGTTTTTGTAATATTGACCTTGCATCATTCTTATCTCTGTTTCTTTTAAGACTGTGAAAAGAGGTCCTAAAATTACTGGTCTACAAAAATAAAGATTGAGAGACATAATATGTTTGAAGTTTAGAAAGTAAAAACTAAACACAGACTTGTGCATCATCTGAAGCTACAGCTAGAGGTAGTCATTTACAATACTGAGGAGATTCCAAGCGAGTAGGAACAGAGGAATTCCTAGATAATGATTCCAGCATACCTTACAGGATATTAAAACTTTTAGCGGTCACTCCTAATCTTTTGAAGGGAATACGAGGGAGAATGACTGCATCTTGCAAAATTATCTTTTGGTCTCACTATAACTGGCTGATTTAGTGTACTGTATTTCTTCAGTTTGAAGAAATTTTCTGGATTGGTGACACAAATTGTATCAAGCAATATTAATGTAGGCTGTGCTTTGTTGAGCTGAAAGCTGAAACTTTTTTTTTTTTAACCCTTTCTTGAAGTTGTAACCTCTTTTCTGTTCATAGCAGAGCAATGATATCGCTCGGGGCTTTGAGAGAGGACTGGAACCAGAAAAGATCATTGGGGCAACAGATTCCTGTGGCGATTTAATGTTCCTAATGAAATGGTGAGAGAGATTGGGCCTCACTTTACAATTGTGTTTCTTTGTCAGTGATTTGACTTTGTATAGAAGATAGGGTGGCTACACTGAGAATTCCCAGACTAAAAGTTTTGAATGCCAGAGCTCCGTAACCAATTTCAACTGCCAGTATTAAATGAGAATTACAGTTTACAGTGAATTTATGACATTCTCAAGCTTTGGTACTAAGCCAAATTATAATAGCCACATATCAGAAAAAGGTAAGTTTGGGATTGAAAACATACAAACAGGACCTAAACATCTGTTAGTATAGTATCGAAGCATTTGCTCTAATACTATGAGCTGATGACCATGACATAGGAGTCCACTGAAGGTTTCTACCATCATTGAGGGCCAAGACCACTGAATGAAATCTAAAGGAAAAACAGTAATTTCAGCAATAAACATTAAGGTTAATACTGATCAAATCACAAGTTATTTTATCCAGTAGAGAGAATAGCTTTTAGAGGAGAGTTGAGTACTTTCCTCCATTTTGTTTTTGGATGCACTGGGGTTTGAACTCAGAGCCTCATGCTTGCTAGGCAGGCCAGTCTTATCACTTGAGCCACTCTACCAGCCCTGTTTAAACATTGTTTGTTTGTTTGTTTTTGGGGGGCAGTGTACTGGGGCCTGAATTCAGGGCCTGTACCTTGAGCCACTCCACCAGGAAAGTGAAGGATTTTTTCAAGATAGGGTCTTGAGAGCTATTTGCTCAGGCTGACTTTGGACCATGATCCTCCTGATCTCTGCCTCTCTAGTAGGTAGGATTACAAGTGTGAGCCACTGGTGCCCAGCAAGCATTGAGATAGGGTCTCATTATACCTGTTTGTTTCCAGGTATTGAGGCAGACTAGACGTAGGAAAAGTTTGGGGCTCATGTAGGTTGTCTGGGGATGGGCCAAACCACCCTCACCTGTCTGGAACCCCCCATGCCTCTCCCCACTTGGTCAATTTTGGGTGGGAACCTCCTGGGCCTGCCCTCCTGTGGGGTAGTGTAGGTTTTAAAGACCTGGAAAAGAGAAACACGCTCCCTCTGCCGGTGGATTCCACCTGCACCCACTGTGCCCTCTGCCTTTTCTTCCTTTCCTCGCCTAGCAGAACAGGTGACTCCCTTTTCCTTGATAAAGCTATCCTACCTCTCCACATCCATGTGCTCTGCTTGGATTTTTCCATTTGGAGCACAAAAAACCACGATCTTCTGATCACAGACTGCACCGTTGCCAGTAACAGTATGATACAGAGAGGGTTCATATTACAGTGCTACTAAGGAAGCTAATTACCCTAGTTGTAAAACCAAAGACTGGGTTTTTGTTGTTTTTGTTTTTTGTTTGGTGCTAGGGATCAAACCTGGTCCTCACATTCTAGGCAAAAGGCTTAATATTTTATCTTAATCTGAATACTGTTGACAAATTATGTAGAAGTCTATATTTGAAGACTTAACATGCTGTATCAGAAGAAAGGAACCATATTAACTGCTTTTTTCCTCATCAGCCATATGTGTTCCTTATGACTTACACTCACATATTAAGTAGCTTTTCCACCGTAGCCCACAATTTAGGTATTTGCTGTAAGCTGTGTTTCCCCTCTCACCTATAATACTTTTATGAATTTCAAGTACTCAGTTTTCTAGGAAAGGAGGTGGTTAAGTTTTTTCACATCTCATGAGAATTTTAATTATTTTTTCCTCTTGATTTGTAATCATAATTAAGTGTGTTGCAAGATATTTTTTTGTGGTTGTAGGTCTGTGTAACATGGATAATTGAAATATGCAGTTAAATTTCTATTTTCTTACTGTTCCAATTCTGACTAAAGGAGTAATGAGTATTTAAAAGGTCACAAGGTGAGAAGGATTAGGACCCTTTCACTTAGGCGATCCAGAAACTCAATTGATCAACTTATATATAATCAATTTAGTTGAATGTAGGTTTGATTCTGTTTGTTCATGTGCTCATACACACAAAAATAATGGAAGTAGAATAAATGTAACTTGTTATTCATTTTTGACCTTGCCTACCATGTTTTGCATCTGCACTCTAGCTACAGACTTCTGTATCTGTCTGACATAGTTAAGTGACGTTCAGTCATAATTTAATTCATTTAAATTTCTCCTTGCAAATATTGAACTGTTAAAAGTCTTTTTGTTTTTTGATGCTAAGGATGGTACCCAGAGCTGTGCACATTCTAAGCTCTACTACTGAGCTATTCCTCCAGCCCTGTTAAGGGTGCTTTTCACTTGAAATCAAGGTATAAGGAGGAAATCAAATCAACTAAAGTCAAATAATGCCATAATGGACAGATTCTTTCATTCTTATTTCCTCTCCTTTCTTTCTTTCCTTCCAGGAAAGACACAGATGAAGCAGACCTGGTTCTTGCAAAAGAAGCTAATGTGAAATGTCCACAAATTGTGATAGCATTTTATGAAGAGAGACTGACGTGGCATGCATATCCTGAAGATGCAGAAAACAAAGAAAAAGAAACTGCAAAGAGCTAAAGGAGGGGGTGGTTTCTGTCATTTCTCTTTGTACATAATACATTCACCTCCTTGCCTCCTCTCCCTTTTGCCCACCCCCTTCTATCCTAAACACATCCATAAAAAATGTGCTTATCACTGTGCTCCACAGGAGAAATGTTGGTATTGGTTCTCTTGTAACATAACTGATGGTCTGATTCATGATAAGTGTATCTCTGTGAAGACCAGGCATTTACATACTGTGTATAATTCCCACAGTTTTTTCCTTTGCCCTGATCTTTTCCTTCTGCTCCCTTGTGACCTCAAGATGAATTTTAACTTTTTAATCACCTTAGAGTCTTGATCTTTTCAGGGTTGGTTGATTTTTAGACTGGGGGATTTTATTACAATGATGATGAATTTTGGTTCCTTGCTTTGGTTATTAGGACATGTTGATGACCAGCTGGCCTTTGTTCTGATGTGTTGGGATGGAAAGGATGTTACTTGTCTTTTAAGAAGCCTATAGCAACTGCTTACATTTAGGGGCTTTCCCAATCTTGTTTAGCTCTACCCAAGAGAAGACAGGGTCTCTGGTATGATCGTCTGAGCCACCCTCTGCTGTTTATCCTTATTCATCCTCCCAGAATAACTCAGTCCTTAAGAGGGCTTGAAACTACATTGAAATTTGTCATAGCACTCCTTTTAGCCCCAGGACTTTTGGCCTTGTTCTTAGCATTCCCCAAGTGTGCTTCTGTAAGGTGGTGTCAATTTGTCATTAAATGACAAGGTAATTATCTGTGGAGAGTCTTAAGCTATATATTGCAGGAGGGTGATGGGGTAGGGGCAGGATACAGTTGTTTTTATTATCACATAGGGTATGTTTGTATTCTTTCCTTCCATCCTCATATTTAGACTATGTATTTATGTAGGCGTGAGTGATTGCCTGGTGCTTGCTTGTGCCAAGGTGCTAGGCACCCTCCAACCCTGCCAACTTTTGTGGTCTCCCAAAGCATTCCTGTTAACCAAAGAGGCTTCAGACCTGACTCTCACTTCTCAGTGGACCCAAGTTTCCCTTCCACGCCATTATTTTCAGTGGGGAATTCTGGGAGAGGAGCCATTGGCTTCAATGTTAATTTTAAATAGTCAGCTTTCTTGACTCCTGGATTTGCCACCAAGAGTCCCCAGAGTATTAATGCTCTTCCTTTTTTCCACCCTCAAACTTTTTTCATGTTTTTCAAAACACATTTCCATGGAAGACTACCACCTCAGAAAGTGATGATCCTGGTGTGCTGACACAACCTTTTTTCTCTATTCAGCAAAATGTTTCTCTTTTGGTTTCCTCTTGTCTTGCTACTACATTAAGAGTTTTTTCTGATCATATCCTTTTGCTTTTGTCTCCTAAGAAGTGCTGCCCTACTTCTTTGTATCCTTTTCTTCTTGTAGTTGAGGGGGCTAGAGAATTAGGACTAAAAGTAAGGAAACAGCAGGGTTTTGAGCATCCTTGTCCCAGCCCCAAAGCTGAGGAAATAAGAATAGATCCTTGAAATAGCCTTATTTCTAGGGTTTATCAGCCACTGAGGTTTTCTTTGTGTGTGTGTGTGTGTGTGTGTGTGTGTGTGTGTTACTTTTGATTTTTAAAACATATAGCTGTCTGGCCAAGGGCATCCAACCATTTCTAGATTATTCATAGTAATGAGGGGAATGGATGGATTGCTCCAGTACACAGATGAGCCAAATAATATGCAAATCATAGACCCATTCATAGCATTTGTTAACATTGCTTCCCTGCTCAGCTGCTGATTGAATTCTGTGTGCTTGTATAAATTATGTCAAAAATTATACTGCACAGTTGAGAAGACAGCTGTTGCTGCAGTGACATGGCAGACAGAATAATGAAGCTTTTGGTTTAACTCAGCCAGGAAAATCTTTCTGAATGGTAATGTGGTTGGGTAAGCACTCATAACCTATAACCCTACATGGGTGGGAGTTTTACCTTCATATTCCATTGTTCTCTGAAGGAATTAAAGGCTAGATCAAGTTCTGGATAATTGACAACTTTTTGTATTTAATCTGATGAGCATCAAAAAGAAGGAAAGGATAGAAAGCAGATTTATCATATAAGTAACCAAGGATATCAGTTAGGGTAGACAAGTATAGGAGAAAAGTAGATCAGAGCTTCTGAGGATGTGATCAGAGTTTCTTGATATGCAACTAGAGAAAATGACACCCTATCCAAGTAGTCAGTGTATGCCTTTTTGTAGTACTGGCCATGTAGACTGCATATTTTAAAAGCAAAAACTTAGCATGAGGGCAAAAAAAATCAAAACAGCAGTATTTGGTATCTGAGAGACCTGGGATACATGATTGCTGTGATACAGGTAATGTTTAAGACACTCATAAAAAAATGTGATTTTCTTTCACTAAAATAACCCTAATATCATGTACTACTCATCACCTCTCTTAATACTCTTCATTACATTTTTTTCTGTTCTCAGTTTATAGAATCATGTTTTTCTTTTTTGTTTCGTTTTTTGAGACAGGGTCTTCCTGTGTATCACTGCCTAGGCTGGCCTGAACTTCCCATCCTCCTGCCTCCTCAGACTCCTGAATGCAGGTGGTGGTTCTCTACCGAGTACCACCAGTAACCACCCTGCAGACCATTTTCTTTATATTCCTCATATATATATATATATATATATTCTCTTTGCTACCTGCAACTGGTTCAGAAAGAAAGAGAGCAGAGCAGCAATACTAATTTCAGCCCTCAGCATAAAGGAAACCAGATGTCTGCTTATGCCTCCAGCGTTTGTTACTGCTGAGTAGCTGTCCTTTCCTTTAGAGAGTTGCACACCCAAACAGAAAACTCTTTCATGGAGCATTCTTCCCTCTGCAGACTTAGTAGCCATGGACAAAACACTCTGAAACTCTTCAGTTTCAGGTGCTTAAAGTATAATTTTCCTGTGTTTAATCTTCTTTCAAAACATCTTTCCAATGCCGAATTTCTTCAATTAAATGATATCCCTTTCTACCAAGTTTAGCAGAGCTTTCTATAGTAGAGTTTACCAGGGACAGCTTATCAGGCTTTTCAGTCCTGGGGCATTTATGGTATAATCAGTTGCTAGGAAAGTCAGCCAGGATAGAAGTGCTTATTTTAAGCCTGGGGACCTTTTGGACTCATGATGCTCGAGCACTGAAAAGTCTAGATGGTCCTTGGCTGTCCTCAGCCAAATCTACATATTATTTTTTGTTGTTGGTGAAGAGTTGATCCTGTTCCAATAGTTTGGGCTGTCATTATTCTTAACTCTTTGTTCCTGTTCTGTTGCCACCCTGCAGGACATTGTCCTTTGTTCAGGCCAAATCATGAGGCATTAGAAGGGTTGTAGAGATTTTTGTCAAGATTTTATTGGATATGTGGGTTAGCCCAGCTAAGGCACAAATGATAGATCTGTTTTCGGGCTAAGGAGTGATTGTCTCTACTGTTAGGATTCAGCTTTAAGGGCCTAAAATACTACTTTGCCCTGAGATGAGAACCACATTAGATTTGAAGAGAGAAATCTTTTTATTTTTTTGCAGTACTGACCCTGAGATATAGGACCTACCACTTGAGCCAGCCCTGAAGTGAGGAATCTTTCACAAATCAGGTTAAAGGAAAAGCTCATTGTTGATTCATGACCCCATCCCTTTTAAAAATAGTCTTGAGGTCTGTGCTTTTATAATCAGACCACCAGGCATGCCTATGGCAAGGCAGAGAGAAGAAAGGTCTAGAGCCAGTATATTGCAGTGTTATGTTGTCTTCTGCCACTAACAAAATGATGTTTTCAAAATTAGAGATGTTGTCAGCTTTACCTGCAAAAGCAGGTGCCCCTTTTAGCCAATTTTGCATTGAGCCATCCAAATTCCACCTCCATTATCATATATCAGTATTGGTTTCATTCAACACACTCATTTTTTTTTTTTTTGGCTTTGTATACAAAGTTAAAAAAGTACCTTCACTTAAAAAAAAAAAAACTTTCTTAGTGATACGAAATGAGCTGATCATTAGTAGTTTTGTGTAATAAATGCTACAAATGGTAATAAATTCTGACTTATGGGGAGATGGTACAGTTTGTGGCTCTAGAATAGGGGAATGAGTCTGGAGGTGGCTTAGAGGTAGAGTGCTTGTGTTACATGCATGAGGCCCTGGGTCGACAAAAAATAAAAATAAAAAATATTAGGAGAATGACATTGATTGGTTCATATGTGGAAAAGATCCTGTGGCCTTGGATGAACTGAGCTAATTGGCTATGAAACACAACAAGGACTTATTTTATTCCAGAAAATGAAGCTGAGAGTTATAAATGCTATCATTACTGAGAGAGCAATCAAATGAGTAGAAATTGAGAACCCCAGAGTTTGGTCCCTGGTTTGGACTCTGCCAAAGTATCTAGGGGATGTAGTTAATGTTGGCTTGTGGAAAGCATTAACTATGTTGCAGATTCAGTTTTGGGTTACATTGTGGGTCTGTAATGCTATTGATTCCTCATGGACATTTTATCAGAGTTTCTCACACCTTTTTCAATTTCTCATCCCTTTTGGAGGAACATGAGGGTGGCTTTAAGTACCTGAGCATTTGTCTCTGGATAGTATAGGTGTTTTTGTTTTGTATTTTGACATTACTGGGGTTTGAATTTCATGCTTGTTGGGTAGGTGCTTTATCACTGAGCCATGCCCCCAGCTAGATAGTGTAGTTTTTTCCAAAAGGGTGAGTTCTAAGCAGGGACTTAGCATTAGTTATATGGAAATGTTTCCCAGAAATACACCTATCCTGGAATCTCAGACTAAATCGGAAGTGAAACCTAGCTCAGTTAAGAAATAATCTTAAGAAAGTTCTCCATTCTTACTGAGAGTGGTGCATTTTTGTAATCCCAGGTCTTGGGAGGCTGTGGCAGGAGGATCATGAGTTTGAGACCAGCCTAGGCTACATAGTAAGACTCTGTCTTAGGAAAAAAAAAAACTTCTTCATTCTGACTCATGTGATCACAAGTAAAAGATAATTAGCTCTGCCTGGGTAATTGAGAATTGACTAGCTTTGAAGTCATAATTCCCAGGAATTAGTCTAACTGCTCTAGAAAGTTAAAATGCGAAGTTGTTTGTATAGTTTTCATAAAAACAATTCTAGCTTCTTTTTTTCTTGTGCTAAATTTCTTGAACTTTAATCTACCTCATCTTGTCTTTTTAGAGTTACTTCTTCCTGTCATTGCCACTTGAACATCACACTTGACTTTGGGTGTTTTCTAAGCTGGAATTTCTCCAGTACATTGAGAGCTTATTCTCTTGCTTTTTGTCCTGGTCTTCATTTCCCATAACATCATCTCATATTACTCCCTCTGTAAGAGACATATTTTAAATAGTTTTAAAGTCTTGTTTTATGGGAAAGAGTGATCTTTCAATGCTATTTGTCACTGAGGTCAGTAAAAGAAAGAGTTAAGAGGTGGGGGAGGGGTCAGATCCTGCTCTAGAGGCAAAAGCTGACAAGGAAAAAGCCATTAATTAAGGCAGTTTCAAAGTCAACTGATTTGTGATCATTAATGTCACAATAGATCAAAACCTAATTATCACAGCCTAGGTAAGAGCCATAAGTATTAATCGGAAAATCTAATAGGAAACTATTATCAAGAAATTAGGCCAAATTGAATGCAATGAACTTTTTATTGTCATCCTTTTATTTATTTATTTATTTTTGTGATATCCCATGGCATTGGCAGGTATGACCCTAACGGCACACTTTTAAAGGAACTTTCTCTCTCTCTCTCTCTCTCTCTCTCTCTCTCTCTCTCCCTCTGTCTCCCTTTTTGAGACAAGGTCTTGCCACATAGCCCAAGGCTAGCCTTGCCTTCAACTTGTGATCTTCCTGCCTCATCCTCCCTATTGCTGGAGTTGTAGGCATGTCCCACCATGCCTGGCATTAAGGATTATTTGGTGGGGGAGGGCGGGGGGATGATTCCAAACAGCCTGAAACTGAACTGTCATTGCCAAAAGACTAGTTTTGAACTTTATCATCACCTGGATTTATCCAGTGTGATCAGTCATCAGCACATTTAGGTCTTAGGATGGTTTTTGGAAGGAGAGTGTCCCTGTGTTGTGTCACAACATTCTAAGGCTTAAGTCAGTGTTTTCTAGTTACCAGTAGCTTTAGAATTTGATTCTAAACCAGCACTGGCTGTGGGTTTTTCTCCACCCACTCACTCTCTGCTCTAGTTTTAGGATAAGGGACTTAATGACTTTTACCAGAATCTAGAATAAGACTAAAGGCATCAACTGATTTTGTTTGTTTGTTTGTTTTTGTCTTGTGTTAAAGAACTATGCCTCTGCAGGAGGAAGGAATAGTATAAGAATCCATATGTAGTTGTAGTTACACAGAGGTCATCACTTACGTGCTTCATCTTGAGTTGTTTATGGAGATACTGCTGCCCTCTGGGTGTGGCACAGTGGGATATGAGGCAGTAAGAGGGTGTTTGGTGGTGCTGGGGGTCCTGTGCTATGAACCTTGCAGCCCTACAGGAACATTAGCAAGCCCACATTAGGGCAGTACTTATTAACTAAGAGTGGTCTTGCTTCTTTCTGGATTTTGGGAATTTGGGTATTCAATACAAAATTTTGAGAAATCAATGTAGCTTAGTCCTTCACCTTTTAAGTGAATCTTTTTTTTTTTTTTTACAAAATCATGTTTTTAATGTTTAAAATGTAATTTTATTTTCAAAATATCCATTAACACATGATTTTTCAAAAGCAGGTATTTTCTCCAAGGTTACTCATATTATACTGGGTAAAAAATAGGCCCTCAGTTAATAACTGTGGGTTGATTGAGTTCATCAGTTTGTAGAGTAAGTTATACCTACCAACTCTGAGAAGTAAATACTCTAGGAAGTGGAAGAATTGAGTGGATGCTTACTATGTGTGCCAACCTCCTCAACTGATTTATAATTGCCGACCTTGGGCAAGTCATTCCTTTCAATGCCTCAGTTCCCCATCTGTCAAATGGGGGTAATAATACTGACCTACCTCACAGGGGTGTTGTGAGGCATTGGAAATCAAAGTTGATAGAATACTTTAGGGTCCTTTATGGAGGATGCCTTGAGCCGAAGCTTAAGCCTGACACAGGCTTTAGTCCTCACTGAGCTGGCTCCAACTTTGGAACTACTTAGTGATCTCGGCTAATTCTCTGCCCCCACCCCTCATCAAAGCTGCTAGTTCTGATGTTGACAGTGTTTTTGTGAATGTTGGAGTCTTAATAGTCCACACGTTCTTAGGATGTCATGGGGGAAGGCACTAGTATTTTCTTTGTCTTGCATTCACAGAGGAGTCTATTTCAAACCCAGGAGCAATGATTAGGAAGTCAGGAGGCAGGGATGTTGCTGCTTGTCTTTCTCTGCAGGTTGGGAATTGAGATCCTATTCCCCATGGACTTGGAGCCCACTTAAGACTGTCTCAGGAGCAAAGCAACTCTAGTGGTTTTGATTTATGTTGTTGCTTTTCATTCCTCAAACAGATCCCAAGCCAGCTAGGTCATTGCAGCCCTTTGTGCTCCTAAACCTCTGGCTCCTCATAAAAGCCAGATGATTCAATAAACATAACCACTTCCTCAACCACTCCCCCCCCCCCCGCCAAGAGCTACATTAGAATTTTTTTTAGAAATAAGTATTATACTCAGAATTGGGCATTGGTCCTTAAGACTTCATCCAGTTCACTGTATTCAGTAGCTGTCATCTCTTTCTCAGTGTCCACAGTCTGAAGCTGACCTTGAGAAAACCTTGGACACTATTTCTATTTGCCCAGGTATGGGTTCAAGAGCCTTACTGTCTCCATCTCAGTTTAGGGGCTCAGCCAGCTCCTCTTCCCAAATAGGGCTCTTTCTTCTTTCCCCTCTTTGGCCCATGAAAAAGCACAAGATCCTGGCTCCTTGCAGTCACATTCCAGATCTCTGTATCTTGTGGACTTTGCTCCCATGTTTGCTGGCACTGGCAGTATCAGACAGTTCTGTGGAGTCCTGGAGGATGAAGAGCACAGTCTCAGTACTGCTAAGTAGCCAGGAGTTAACTGGCCTATGGCCTTCTGGCCTTCCCACCACTTCCCACAGGATGGAATCTAAGAGACCCAAGAGGCTGGGTTTCTTCCACACTGCACCATCCTGAGTAGCAAAGCAAGTCACACTTTATAGTCAGATATCTGAATGGAAATGAGACATTGAATTCTCCATGGACTTTTGGTTTGTGGGGGAGTTTTGGTTGTGTCTCTTGATTTTATTTCAGCCAAACATGTCTGCTTTTGGATTTTTAAAAAGATTTTATATATGTATATATATACATATTACATATATATATATATATATATATATATATATATATATAATGTAAATGTTTAAAAGTAGGCATTTATGTGTTTCCACAACTGACATCCAAATCAGACCTCATTCTCTCTCCCCCTCTTCCGCCCTCCTCTTCCCTCTTTTCATACTCTTGTATTGGTTCTAATAAACGGTTGCTTTTCAAATATGCACGCATCTTGAGTGGTGGTTTGAAGATGTGAATCATAAACCCCTTTTTAATTTGGGCCCTGGAATGTTAGTCATATATTTGCCTTTGTGAAAAAGCAGTGAGAATTGGAGCAAAGGGTCTTTTTGTCCAAAAGGTTGTTGGTCTCTGAATTTCTACAAACAGCCACTGGGTGGCGCAAACCCAAGGGAATGAGAACACCCAGTTCCTATTCTGTTCCCTGCATTATTTCAGTTTATATGCCTTTCTGGGTTCCCTGCTCTTCTTGCTTCCGGCAGTTCAGAGAGTAAACATGGGCCTTCAGGAGCCCAGCACACTCTTGTCAGAATCAGCTCATTGTTACTAGAATTTAAGAAATAGCACATCAAGCAAACACAGTCTAAATCCGGTTTAAAAATCCCAATATTATGTGCATTTATAAGTATATGTTTGTATTTGCTCTTACTGATTTGCT